TTTAATAATATAATTAATAGAATTATTATTATTGTTTTTATTTTATGAATATTAATTTTAAAAAAAATATTTTTACGATTTGTCAAGGGATAAACTTTTGGAAAAATGTCAATGTCTATATTTTGCCAGGGCTTAACCCCAAGCAAAAATCCTGACGCATTGTCACTTACCCTGCGTCTACGTCTGCATGCTACAACCTATATAATCCATGTTGCATTTAGCGAGGGCTGTAACTCCTGATAAACTTTCTACGTGTAAAGCGCCTTACAAATTTATTTGCGACCCCTAGTTTTCTTAGGGGACCAGTCCTCTCGCAAATTTTGTATTTGTGAAGGATTTTTGCCATTTGTGAGGGATTAAACCCCTGACAAATAACATATTTTTTGTAGTGTCTATTATATAGGAAATTAAGCTATTACCAAATATTACCTCCATGTTCTCCCTTCTTTTTTTGAGCTATAAAAGAAACTTGGAAATAAACCAACCCCTTCACGGTTCACACGTTATCCCTTAGAGTGAGAGAGAAAATAAATCTCTCAATAATAACACCAGTTTTGTGCCGATTTAGAGAGAGACAAATTTGAGCGGAACCAAAACAAGCTTACGAAGAAGAAATCTATGAAGCATCTATGTAGAGAAAACACACGATAACAGAGGAAAACCAACAGCAAGAGGCGCGATAGTGAAGAGAAGTTGCAGTAGGTGGTTGGTCTTTTGTTGGTGTGGATTTGCGGTTGTTGAATCTTTTGTAGTGTGAGTTATCTGTGGTGTATAAAGAGGAAGCAAAGGGGGAAGATGATGGATGTTTGAATGAATGAAGGTAACACATTGGTGTTGTCGATTTGGAGCGGTGGATGAAGGAGATGAAGTGTGAAGTGTGGAGTGGTTTGAGGATGAAATGATGTTGTTTCTTGAAGGAAGGTGGTGGTCTTAGATGAAGAAGAACCGTGAGTTTGGTTGATGGCAGTAGAGATAGGTTATGGTTAATGATTCATGTAGTCACCATGAAAGAAATCAAGTATAAGAAAAATATGGATATAAGAGGATGAGATTATTTGTGAGAAGAAGGTGGTTAGTATGTTATGGTAGGAGAAGCAGATAATGGATTATTCCGTTAAAGATGAAGGAGATCCATAACTACTTTGCATTTTTTGATTGGATGATGATTGCTTGAGAGGGAGAGAGTATTGGGTCTGGGGTGGAGCGTCGTTGCCATTGTATTGCTCCCCTCACAATTCTCTCAATTGGTCATTAAATACCCATACTCTTAGGGTTTTTTATGTACAAAATATCTATTTTGCCCCATTGAGGAAAGATATTTTGCAAGACGTTCTAATAAACTAAAGACAACAATAATTATTAAAAAAAATAAACATCATTTTTTTATATTTTTCTTTCTAATTGAATTAAAATAAAATTAAAAAAACTAACATAATCATTCTCTTTGTTTTTTTTTATAAAAAGAATTAAACTACAAAATTAAAACACATATTTTTTAATATTTTCAAATGATAAAAGTGAATAAAAACATATATTTATTATTATCTAAAAATGGAAAAATACGGATTAAAAGTTTAATCCGGATAAAAAAAATGCAAATATGTGAATGAAAGTTGTTTTATTTTTTTGTTGACTTTAATAAAAGTCAAAAAGTTTAAAACATACAAAAATGCGACGACTGAACAAGGAATACATTAGACTAAAACACGACATGTCTAGATGAATGAAATGATAAAATATCAGATAATGGATGAAAATCATGAGGAAAAATTAGAGTACGACAAATACAAATACCAAAATATTATGCAAAACCCCCAAAATCAACACCTTGATTTTAGGGAGAAACCCTAACTGATTTTTTTTCCAATCAAACCCCCAAAGAATCTCAACCCAATTTACAATTCAACAACCTAAATTGGACGTTATCATCTCTGAATCTAGATGGCATCCAACAGGAATGATTATGTGTCATTGTTGTGTGTATGCATAGATGAGAGAATGAAGATGAAGAGAACTTTCTTTGTATGTTTATGGTTTCATCTAATTTGAAATGATGCATGTGTCAACCTATATATGTCATGTGCCGACACATGCATTACAGAGCCTACATGCTCTAAAAATCAGCTACATCTGTTGACTCATACGTTGTATGTGTAGATTCATAGAAGTAATTTTTCTTCTATGTGTCGACCTGAAAGCTAGTCGACAAATGTATTACAGAGTGTACAAGCTCTAAAACACAACATCACATGTCGACTCATAGGTCGTATGTGTCGACTCATGAACCTGATTATCACATGAAATTTGATTTTTAATGTGTGAAACCTTTTCAAAAATGCTTTTAAACATCCTAATACTTAGATGCACATCAAGACTCAGAGAATATTGTCCAATATATAGAAACACTAAAAGGTCCTAGTTTTGACATCATACAAAATGTCTCTAATGGGAAAATTCACTCACATAATTGATGAAGAAAATATGAATATTTGTTGTGATATATGTTAGATTGAAGTTCCTTGATGTGAAATTTGTCGTTTATAGGTGTGAATCGAATTCTAAAATTGTTACATTGACAAATAAGTCGAAATATGTTGAAATAAGTCGAAATGAGTCAAAATAAGTCGAAATAAGCCAAATAAATCGCAGAAAAATACATGAGAGTATTGGTCATCTTGTTTGACGCATAACTTGGGTTTCCTAAGTCCGTTTGAGGCGCGGTCAGTTGCGTTGGAAAGATAAGGCATATACCTTTCTTATGGTAATGAATTCACTAGATTTAAATGTATGGATGAGGTTGTTATTATGGTAATTCCTCATGATGTTTATGCGTGTGAATTGTGTTGTGAATATCGTATATTCTTACGAGGTTTATGTGAATAACATTGTAGAAAGTAATAATTATATACATGATGAGAGTTTAGTGTTGAAATTGAACATAAGTGTACTTAATTTTAGAAATTATATGTCGAACCAATGGTATAGAATGATTAGTCGTGATAATAGATGTTTAAGTACTATCGTTATCATACATCTATTAATTTCTAAAACTTGCGGTTAGTATACCCTGTTAGTCATTTGTCTATAATTTTAGTTACCTAGATCTTTTAAGAATGAAATTGAGTCCATTAGAAACTATACAATACTTAGTACGAGATAGACTTCAATCTGGATCAATTTCGTTGGGGAAAAGGCTAGAAAATTGACTTGCAAGTTCAGTTAATGTTTTGGAAACTCTGCATCACAACTATTTGACATGCTATCAATAATTTAGACACAAATCAATCTACACAATTCCTTTAAGAGTAAACCTTATATCATAAGAAAATAGACAAAATCAACTACATATTAAACCTAATAAGCATTTGATTCCACTAAGTTCAGGAGGAGAAATACTAGTTACAAGTTCGATGAAACATTATGCCTGATGCTTGTACCAATTCCTATTGTTGATTAAAATATACTGATTGGAATCTTATGTCCTAAAATAAAAACTATATTTTTAAAATAGACTCTCTAAGATTTCTGAAACATATTCATTTACTTGATTCTGACTTCGTTTGATATTTTAAATAATTATTTGAATCTGAAGTATGACTAGTAGGAAACATGATTTTGGGATTGGTTTGATAAGATGCTATGTGAATTAAGTTGTTAATATTTTAGGACACAAGTCCAATGGTTAACAATACATATACGAGTTAAGTTGTTAAGGTTAGGACGCAAGTATTCATGTGCTGTATGTTAGGTTTGAAAGAACCAGTGTTGAGATGTTTGGGTTCAAGAGAGCCGGTGACGTGGCCTTACATCGACGATTATTTTATGATGATGTGTTTAGGTTCGAAAGAACCAATAACATGTAGGACTTATGCCTAGTGACGAGGATTGGAGTTGGAGGATTGTGGATGTAGATTTGTATTAATTGTAACATTCATGCATAATGTATATCAGAGATAAGTTAGACTTTAGTCCAGAGACGAGTATGACTTCGGTCTAGTGACGAGTTGGATATATCAATAACATACCTCTGATATCCAAGAGATTGATACCACATGCATGTGAGTAGAAGAGACAGACATTACATGCATAATTATTTATGTTATTTGATTGCGTGATTGTGATTTGATTGTATATGATGATTATACTATCCTTGTTGTTTTAACACCGTTATTCTCACCCATTTTTTTGTCTCTATGTTTCTACTTTTGTATTTTATATAGATATCCACTGGTTGAGAATGAGGAATGGTAGTTTTTGTTATCGAAAATGGCGTGTTGACCTCTTCAATAGTTTGCTTTTACTTATGTTTTGTTGTATCTTTTATTAGCTGTCTAGTTTCGTATTCGGTGTCGCTCTGATATTTTAACATCGGATGGGAATTTCGCTATGTCATTAAGTTGTTTTGAACATGGCATCTTCAATAGTTTGCTTTTGCTTATGTTTTGCCGTATCTTTTATTGGCTGTCTAGTTTCCTATTCGATGTCGCTCTGATATTATAACATCAGGTTGGGAATTTCGCTATGTCATTAATTTGTTTTGAACATGACCTCTTCAATAATTTACTTTTGCTTATGTTTTACCGTATCTTTTATTGACTATCTAGTTTCGTATCCAGTATCACTTTAATATTATAACATTTAGATTGAGAATTTCGATATACCATTAAGTTGTTCTGAACAAATCACTATATTTTATGATGTTATGCTTTAACTTAATACCTCATTTGAAATATGAAATGTTTTTGTCAATATGCCACCTTTATTTTTATCTATATTTTATAAATTATAGTTAATATTTAGGGTGTTACGATTAACATGAAACTTGTTTGGAATTGAAAAAAAGTTAAATTTTGAATCATATTCTAGTTTGTTTAGGATTTGGCAAAATGAAGGAAGACCTAATCGGAAAAAAGAAAGACCAAGGCACGGAAAGTGTCCCTATTTCTGTCGTCACCTCCAATTCTCTTTCTCTCGTCAATACAAAATCTTGAAAAACAAAAATGTCGATTAGTTCAGCCACTCGCTGTTGCATGTCACCTCTGCATCGCACTTCACCTTGCCGCTCCATTTTTGTTACACCAAATTGTAAGCCCTTTCTCCCTAGCCACGCTCCGAGCCTAAGCCTCGTTTTGGTTCGGTCCCAGTCCTCCGGTTCGGAAGGGTTTACTTCGCCCAAGATACCCTCCAATTGTTCATCTTCCTCCTCTGCCATCGATTTTCTCACTCTCTGCCACAAGCTCAAGGTACATGTTCCATCCACTATTTCCTCTCTTATATCATTATCTTTGCATTATTACTCAGAATTAGGTTTGAATGTTATTACGTGCCTTGTAGACCACCAAGAGGAAAGGATGGGTTAATCATGGGATAAAGGGTGCTGAGTCCATAGCTGATCATATGTATCGCATGGCTTTGATGTCCTTAATTGCCGCTGATCTTCCTGGACTCAGTAGAGAAAGGTTTCACATCCACTTTCTTTTTTTCTTTCTATTACTATCATGTACATTTCTATATTCTATCATCCACTCAAACTGAAATACTTGGATCATATCACCTCTTGTTGTTACACAATCACTTAGGCTATGTTTGGATACACTAAATCCAACGGATTGGGTATTTCATGATGGAATAGAGCAATTTTCTTATTCATGCAATGCATTCCAAGCGGTTCTGCTCCATTCCATCTATTTTTATTGTTTGTGAAGAAGCTCCCTCACTCACTACACACTAGTGAGATATTGTTTTTGTACAATTGATTAGTAATCTGGGTGGTATAGTTAGAGTATATACACTCTTATCATTACCCGAAACAACAACATTTTGCTTACCTTGTAAATGTTATTAGTCTCATAGCGTGATCCTGTATATTTATATCCACCACTCTCACAGCTCTTGTTCCAAAACTTTCTTATCTTTATCATTTTTCTTTTGCTTCACTAATTTACTTTGTTTACTTGCCCCTCTTCCTGTGCAGATGTATTAAAATAGCTCTCGTGCATGATATTGCAGAAGGTACCTCTCCCTCTCACCCAATTGCTTATGCAGTTATTTACATTAAATCTTAACTCACATTTTGGCTTTGGATCATTTGCTATACCAGTCTTGAGTTGAATTTTTATGTTTTGTTTGAAACTGCTGGCAAGTGACTTTGTCCTTGCAAGCTACAATAATTGGCACTTTTCACTGGGGAATGGAGCATAAATTATAGAAGATGTGTTCATTTTATATTGTGTTGACCATGTACTTCAGAAAAAACACTTTCGAATAGTTAATTTTGTATAATTCAGTTCTCCACCTTACTGATGATCAGTGAATCAATAACTTGTTGAATGTTGCTAACCTTACTGATGATCAGTGAATCAATAACATGTTGAATGTTGCTAGGTAATCATTATTATATTGCTTATCTAACCGGAATATGCTTTGATAAACATATCCAAAACTTGATTGTACTACATTTTCTTTTTCAATTGAAGCTACTGTTAATCTAACATGTATAAGAAAGGCAAATTCCATTACAAAATGTTAGATTATTTGACTTTCTTTAATGAGTAGTAGCTTTGTTGTCTGTGGTTGTGATTTGGGAATACTGAACTCTTTGTTTTTTAATTCCTCGAGTATATTTGTCTACAATAATAATAAAAGGCGTTAAATCTTTTTTCGATATATTTATAATATATTATATTGAAATCTGAGCTCAGTATTGTACTGAATAGCTATTGTTGGAGATATAACACCATCTGATGGTGTACCTAAGGCTGAAAAAAGCCGAATGGAGCAAGAAGCTTTAGACAAAATGTGTGAAGTTCTTGGTGGAGGGATGAGAGGTATTGCAAAACATATTTTTCTTGTATGTTTTTTCAGAGCTTCCAAATTCTACATCAATTTTATTTGAGGATGACCTTTTTTGTATTCTGAAGCTGATGAGATCAAAGAACTGTGGGCAGAGTATGAAAACAATTCTTCTTTAGAGGCTAATGTTGTTAAAGATTTTGACAAGGTACATATATGCTACTGAATACATTATTCGTGTTGAGGGAGACATGCGTTGCACACTTTTGTTTTATTATAACATGTAGTCTTTAAAGTATTCAATTTGGTCCTCATAACATGCATATCTAGAACTGTAATATGGATATTGGAGACCTTTTAGTTAGTTTCTAATTGCATTGCCTTGCTCTAAATTTTGATCAGGTTGAAATGATTCTACAAGCCTTAGAATATGAAATGGGTAAGTAATATATAAATAGGCAAATACAGTATTTGCATGTAGCTTTTGAATTCATATTACGAAAGCAACATAATGATATGCTTTTGCAACACTAAGTATCTTTAATGACTGTATCGTTCCCTGTGGCAGAGCATGGGAAAGTATTGGATGAATTTTTCATTTCAACCGCAGGTAGAGTTGAAACTTATCTTATACAAATGAAATGCATGAGTCCTTATTTAGACCTTTGTCAATCACATGATTTTTATTTTGTATTCAGGCAAGTTTCAAACTGAAATAGGCAAGAGTTGGGCAGCCGAAATCATTTCAAGAAGAAAATCCTTAACAGCAAAAAGGTTAAGTTGATATAATTGCTAAAAATGGTTTCACGTGGCTCATTCTGGTTGGAGAGATTTGAAGGACTTGTTGTCTCAGTATTTTGTTGATAAGGAGGATTTTTGACTGTCTTATGTTATTTAGGATTAGTCATATCTTGCAGAAAGATAACAAAAATAGTCTCTCATTTCAAAATACTTAAAGAAAAATATTATTTACCATGCATTTAGATTGTTTAAACACATAAGCAGACTTGTTTATTTTATTTTGATAGAGTCACCTCAGATTGTTTAAAAGAGACTTGTTTATTTTGATTTAGTCACCTCAGATTGTTTAAATATATAAAGGGCAATGGATTCTCTCCGGTGTGAATTTTACTGAAGGTAGAGCAGTTTACATCACAGACCAAAATGTCATGGGAGAGGTCCACTTGTTTATTTGGATTTAGTCAACTCTTCAGTTTGAATGGTATGTGTCACATAAATTAGTTTTTTCAGGGAATTTTATAAAACCATCATTATCAAATGAAATATACAAATATTTTCTTGCATATCTTTTTATATAAACAGAATTTTTCATGTGTTAAATATGAAATATTTATTGAATATACTTAAGGTGGAATATGTCTTTTTATTTATTTATTTATAAAATTGTTCTGGACTGGGCCCGCCCTGGCCCAAGAGCAAGAACAAAGGCCCAATCCAAGCAACTCTTCAAGGAGCGCGCGCCCGAGGATTCCCGCCAGTGCGCCGACCAGAAACTGCAGTCGTGCCTGCCGTTGCCCGCGAACACGGCGTCCTCGACCACGCGAACTCCAGCTCGAGCCCAGCTCGAGCACCCTCCTCGTAGGGCAGACTCTGACCGTTACCAAATCACCTGAACTCCGGAAAGACCGCGTCCTCGTCCCTCCTCATTTCTCGCAGAGCATCACCAGGAAGGAGACCACGTGCGGGTCTCCACTACACACGTAGAACCTGACAGTTCCTTTATTGGGCCACTTCTGGTCGGTCCAATGAAGGGACCTTGACCTCGCGCTGGGGGCTATAAATACCCTCTGTTCCTAGAGGGTCAGGTATTCATTCTCTTACCCATACATACACTCTTTGCCTGCTCGTACCATCACTCACTTTAGCATCGGAGTGCCTTGCAGGTACTCCCCCCATCTCACTCAACTTCTGCTCGGAGTCAGTCGTGACGGTCCAAGTCTGATCAGATAAGATCAGTGGCGCCGTCTGTGGGAAACTAGCTTCCCCGTCTTGCAAAACCTCGAAGACCAAAGCTCGATATCACTCCCTACCGTCATGGCTGACCAAGTTCGGGATGACCAAAACATCCGCGTCGCCGACACCAACAACGACCTTGCAAATAAAAATGGACTCCCTGACAACACCGGTAACCCCAGTCATAGCACATTCCCCGGGGACACCAACCTCGGGCCCTCAGTCCACCGCGACGGAGTTACTGCCTCATCTTCTTCAGTCTCTCTTCCGCTCGAAGAAGATAACGCAGCTCCCACGAGCCACCGAGCTGCCCAATTTCAGGAAGTCCCCGTCCCCGTCGGGGCAGATGCCACAACCCGCGCACTATTCGCAGCGATCAATCAGACGAATTACCTCATCTTCGCCCAGGGGGAAAGATTGAGGGCACTAGAAGACGATCGAAGACCTGCGAGGAGACACAGGAGGCCCCAAACTCCACCTCTTCGAGTAACAGAGGTACATCTCCCGTCTCCCCCGCAGAGACACCTCCCGAAGCCCGTCACCCCGACCCTCGGGGAGACGCCCCCCTTTGGAGAGGCAACCCGTCATTGAAGTTAGAGGACGCGGCCACGCCCCCACACGACAAGAAAGAAGACACTCCGGAGACGGGCATGGAAGAATCAACCAACGAGCACCACGCTCGAGAGATGCCCAACACGACCAGGGCTCGACAATATTACAGGTCCCCATCCCTGTCCCCAGAGCAAAGTGACGAGGACGACCCCCGCGGTCCCCTGTCACAAGCCATCATGGAGGCGCCCATTCCCCCGGGCATGGAGAAGCCTCCACATCTGAAGGAATACGACGGAGTCGCGGACCCAGTCGACCACATAGACGGGTTCAAAGCTATGCTGCACTACCACAACGTCGGGGGACCCATCAAATGCCGGTTGTTCCCCACGACCCTTAGAAAGGCAGCAATGAATTGGTATAAAGGCCTCGCTCCGGGATCAATCACCTCGTGGAGAAACCTGAAGAACCAATTCATAAGTTCGTTCACTGCGTCTTGACGACACCCAAAGACCGAGGCGGCTCTCGAGGCCATCATCCAGAGACAGGATGAAACCTTGAGAGAATTTATTAATCGCTTCAATCGCGAAGCCATACAGGTCCTCTGCGCAGACCACATGAAGAGGTACCTGCTGGAGAGGGGACTCCTCCCCGACACAGAATTCAGAAAGGCGGTGGGCATCGAACCGCCCCGAACATTCGATGCCCTCCTCGAGAAGGCCCGGGCGTATATGGATTACGAGGAAAGGGAGGCGGCCAACAGAGCCCGAGACCCCAGAACTCGCGGATCCAGCAGCAACCCACGCCAGGAAGCCGCTCCTCCCCGACGAACCGGGGAGAAAAGAAAAGAAGACAGACCCCGAGAAGTCCGAGAGCAAAGAAGACCCTCGGGGCGGTTTACCGAGTACACTCCGCTCACAGCTTCCCGCGAGCGCATTTTGGCAGAGTGTGCCAGCACGGACTTTAAAGACGGCGGCGTCAAACGCCCCCGACCTGCTCCCACCAAGCCCGAAGCAGACAAAAGCAAGTATTGTCAGTACCACAGGAGCCATGGTCATCTGACTGAAGACTGCGTCCACCTCAAGGACGCCATCGAAACCCTCATCAAGGGAGGGAGGCTCTCCCAATACCGACGAAACGACGCTCCTCGTCGTGATGCCCGAGAGGCAAGAGAACCGGAGGAAGACGCCCGACCATCTGACGAGTCGGTTTCCGTCCAGACCGCCTTCTCCGTCACCAGATCGGAGGACTTCTACGTCCCCGAACACCTGCAGGAGCCGCTCACGACGCACAGCAGGTGGGAACACTTCCCCTCCGCCATGGTCATCAATGATGAAGGATTCAACGACCTAACTATCAATTCAGACAAAAGAAAGCTGGATGAACTGGTCGACGCGACACCTCCGCAAACAGTGACTTTTAAAAGAGTAAAAGATAGGTCGGAGCCTATCACCTTTTACCTGGAAGAGCTCCCCGGAGGAGCCCCCAACGCAGTCAGTCCTCTGCTGATAAGAGCAAGAATGGCTAACTTTGATATGCACCGCATCCTCGTCGACGAAGGAAGTTTCGTGGACGTGATGTACAATCAGTTATTCCGGACTCTGCAGCTGGACGACTCGCATCTCTCGCCATATGTAGGTTCGGACTTACAGGGCTTCAACGGCTCGACCTCCAAGCCCTGGGGATATGTCGAGCTCATGGTTACCTTCGGCGAGGGCACGGCGACAAGGCAAGTCAAAGTGCGCTTCCTCGTCATCGACTGCCCGTCCCTCTACAACTGTATCCTGGGGAGACCAACACTGGCAGAACTGACCGCGGTACCCTCCACCGTCCATTTGAAGATGAAGTTCTACACCAAAAGGGCACAGGTAGCTACCATCCAGGGGGACCTAGCCGCTGCTCGAAGGTGTTTCAACGCCGCATCTAAGGGACGCGACACTGTCGACACCGGGACAAGGCCCGCCAAGAGACCGGCGACGACGCGACAGGAACCCGACAAGCCAGAGCCCGCCAAAGAGGAAGACCAGAGAGCTCCACCAAAGGTCGACTCCATAGCTCTGGATGCTCGTTTCGATCAGGACGAACCTCCCAACGGCGAGCAAATTCCCCTCCGACCAATCCCGGACGGGGACTTCGAGCTGGTCCCCCTCGGCGCAGACCCAAGCAAAGGAGTGAAGATTGGCATCGACCTCCCCGACCTAGCAAGGAAACAAATCAAAGCCTGCTTGCGCGAGAATGCTGACATGTTCGCTTGGAGCGCCACAGAGATGCCCGGACTTAACCCTGAGGTCGCCTGTCACCGTCTCGCCATAGATCCTGCCGCTAAGGCCGTAGTACAACGTAGGCGTAGGCAGTCTCCGGAGAAAACGGAGGCTGCTGAAAAAGCTGTAAAAGACTTCCTAGTGGCGAATTTTATTTCTGAAGCCCGGTATTCAACCTGGCTGTCAAACGTTGTACTAGTTAAAAAGAATAATGAAAAATGGCGGATGTGTGTTGACTATACCGATCTCAACCGGGCATGCCCGAAGGATGCTTTCCCCTTACCAAACATAGATATGTTGGTCGACAACTCGGCCGGCTACAAGACGTTATCGTTCATGGATGCCTATTCAGGCTACAACCAAATCCCAATGGCCATGGGCGACAAACACTGCACTGCCTTCATGACCAGCTCGGGAAATTATTACTACAACGTAATGCCCTTTGGACTAAAGAACACAGGGGCAACTTACCAACGTATGATGAACAGGGTGTTCCACAAGCAGATTGGAGACATGCTCGAGGTCTACATGGACGACATGATCGTCAAATCCCGAGCAGACACCGATCATGCAGCACACCTCAAGGCAGTCTTCGCCCAAGCGAGACAATGTAAGATGAGATTCAACCCCGAAAAATGCACGTTCGGAGTCAAGGCGGGGAAATTCCTCGGTTTCTACCTGACAGAACGAGGAATCGAAGCCAATCCCGACAAATGCCGAGCATTCTCCGACCTCCCGACACCGACGTCGAAGAAATCAATACAAGTCATGAACGACATGCTCACGTCATTGTCCCGCTTCGTCGCAAGATCCGCTCAGCACGCCCTCCCCTTCTTTAGACTCCTTCTCAAAGAGGCAGCCTTCGAATGGACCGAGGAATGCGACCGAGCACTGCGCCACCTAAAACAAAGTCTGTCCCAACCGCCCGTGCTATCTCGACCAGTCGACGGGGAGCCATTATTCCTATACTTGGCCGTCTCGAACGAAGCCATCAGCGCAA